CCTCTCAGCCTTCCTCTTAACCCTTAATTCTACCTCAACCTCCTACTCCCCCTGGCTGCCATTCTTTTCACATTTCCCCTTTTGAAGGTCCCCTCCCCCCTTTGCTACCGTACAATCTTAGTGAAGAGTATCTTTCTCCCCTACCCACACATCTTTCCCTCCCCTTTGATAACCCCTCTTCTTCCTATTCCTCAAACTCTTCTTCACTGGCCTTTGTGGACTCTAGCTTAATGAACGAAATCGACCAAGCCCAAGGCAATCCTCACAAGAACCTTTCAATGATGGGCTTCCTGTTCAACGGCCCACATGAAGCCCGTGAAGCCTTCGTCAATGCTGATAGCGAATCTAGACACCAGTCTAAATCAAAGAATGTTAAAGGTAAGGCTCCCTCTACCAATTTAAGAGCATCCCAAGAGCTATACAACTCTATGTCAAAGTAAGGTATGAGAAAGGAGAACCCTCAGCTAAGGTCCTCCCCACTCCCTTTGCTCCTCGGCATTCTCGCCGCTCGACCATGAGTGTCATTCGCCCCTTATCTTTGCAATGAAGATCTTTATTTGGAATATAAGGGTTTGGGCCACCCAGGAAAATGGAAAAATATTCGTCAATTTGTTTTACAGTATTCTCCCTCTCTTCTTGGCTTGGTGGAAACCAAACTTCCTTCCCACACCCTCTCCCAAATTCGGAATATTTGGGGCTTTCCCCTACCAGTGGTTAGCTCTGGATGCAATAGGACCTTTTGGCGGTATCTGGGTCCTTTGGGACCCTTCTCACAACACCTTAATTGCCTCTCATATTGGCAAGTTCTCTGTCATAGTGACCCTAGCTAGGACCACTGATTCCCTCCATTGGAAATGCATTGTGGTCTATGGACCACAAGAAGACAACGAGAAATTGGCCGTTTTGAAAGAGTTACAGTCTTTGATGACCCTCCCTTTTTCTAAGTGGTGTGTAGGAGGTGATTTTAATCTCACCAGATGGTCTCATAACAGTCTTCTAGACATCCTGTTGGAAGGAGCAGAGTTCAGTTGGTCTAGTCATTCTGCTAATCCAAGCCTCTCAAATTTAGATAGATTTCTAATCCCTCTCGAGTGGGATCATGAGTTTCCTGACACCCACTCTCTGGTGCTTCCCAAGCCCACCTCAAATCATAGATCTATCCTGCTAGATACCCAGTCCCTTCCTCGAGGGCCTAAGCCTTTTTTCTTTGAGTTGTCATGGCTCTAAGAGCCCAGCTTCCCCCTCCTGTCCGTAACCATTGGGAGTCTTTCTCCCCCCTCGTGAATGGGTGGGCCGGTTTTATCTTGTAGAAAAAGCTTCAAATGCTCAAAGTTTTCCTGAAATCATGGAGTTCACAACTCCCTGGAAACTTCTGATACCAAAACGATTCCCTTTTGAGGTCTATTCAACACTGGGACTCCATTGAAGAACTTGGACCTCCCTCCCCTTCAGCTAGATTCTCGATCCATCCATAAACGTGATTACCAGTTCCTCCTAAAGAAAGAAGAAATTTATTGGGCTCATCGGCCCAAAGTCAGATGGCTCAAGCTTGACAACCAAAATACAACTTATTTCCACAAGATAGCCAACTGTCAAAGAAGGGAGAACTGTATTACCCACTTCAAGGTGGAGGACCAGATTGTTGACCATCCCAATCTCATTGAGGCAGCGGTTGTCGAATATTTTTCCAAGCTTTTCTCTTCCCCTTCTAGTCCTAGGCCAGTAATGGCGGACCACCCCTTCTCTTCTATTTCTTCCGAATCTGCAGCCTCTTTGGAAAGCCCTTTTTTGGAGGACAAAGTACTCCAAGCCATTAAAGACCTTAATGGATTTCCCCATAGCCCTCTTCAAAGTCTTTTGGGATACCCTTAGGACTGATATTGTGGCTTTCTTTTCTGAATTTCACTACTATCCATAAGGCGATGAATGCCACTTTCATTGCCAAGATCCCCAAGGAGGGAGCAAAAGAGCTTAAAGACTTCAAACCCATTAGTCTGATTAATACTTCCTACAAAATTCTCTTAAAGGCCTGGCTTCCCGTCTTAAACGTGTCCTTGGTCAGGTGATCTTATCGCCCCAAGGGACCTTTGAGAAGGAGCATCAGATTCTTGATGGGGCTCTAATAGCACACGAGTGCATCCATTCCCATTGTAGAGCAAAAATCCCAGACTTGGTAAACAAAAAGCTTATGATGATGAGACTTTGTCCAGAATGCCATTTGGCTCTCTATGGTTGAGATGGATACAAGGGTGTATTTCAAAACCCCAATTTTTGGACCCAATAAATGACACATCTAAGGTTTACATTCATGCTTAGAGAGGGCTCTGCCAAGGGGACCCCCTTTCACCCTTCCTACTTGCCATAGTGGCTGAGGTGTTCAGTGCCTCACTATCTCGTGTGTACAACACGGGACGCATTTAGGGTTTCCAAGTGGGTAGGTGGGGTCTCTCTATATTCCACCTCCAATATGTCGAGTGGCACCTGGCTTCATGAAAAGGGAGAGTCCTTTCACCAAGCTGCAAAGCAACCCTTATCAAGGCCACAATTTCCAGTATTTCCCTTTTCTTTATGTCCTTTTTCTTTATGGTCGTAGTCGCTAGACTGGAAAAACTCGTGAGGGCTCTAAGGCTTCTCATTGAAGGGGCAAGTGAAGAAAGTCAAGCCCCAAGCATGAGAGCTTATGTATGTAGAAGAGTCTATCAATTGAAAAACCTACTGAGGCTATGATTGACACTGGGGCGACGCACAACTTTGTGGCAGATCAAGAGGCTCGCTGGCTGAACCTCAGTGAAGGTACTGGATGGTATCTCCCTAAAATCAAATACTTGCGGGTGTCGTTCAGCCTCCTTTCAAGGGAAGAGAGGCTAGAACTTGTCGCGCTCCCTCCCTCACTTACCTCTGACAATGAGGCGAGAATTGAATCAATTACTTGTTTCAGTTAGCTTGCTCTCAAACTAGCCGTACTCGAACCGACCTCATAGACACGATGAAACTCGATTCCTTGTTCACCTCCTCGTCACCCGCACCCGCTTTACTACTCCTTGCTAGTTTCTTTTGTCTGACCCCATAACCCTTCCTCTGCGATGGCAGAAAGCATTACTGGTCCACCTAATGCGAGATCTTGGAACCACAATTTCAAGAGACTCTTAGTTGACCACAAGCTTCACCAGTTTTTGAATCTCTCGGTCTTGCTCGATTCGATATTTTTCTCCCACATGCAATGACAAGATTGTCTGATCGCCCTCTTCGTCAGGTTTATTCACAGTTGCTTCATTTTACTGAAGCTTATAGTCCCTGCCTTCTCCTCCCCTCTCAGCCTTTCCCTCTATAGCCACCATGGCGTGGTGCTCCTTTTTGCCCTCAAAATCCAGCTTATTACTTGGATAGCACTCTATGAAAGGGCTTTGACACTTGATCAACTACAGCAAAGGGGTACACATTTTCCTAATAGGTGCGCCATGTGCCTCAATGCTGAACAAACCAGTCAACATCTATTTCTTAATTGTGAGGTTGCCTTGGCCCTTTGAACCGACCTTCTTCTTCTATTCAAGTGGCTGTGGGTCATTCCCCAATTGATCCCTCACCTCTTCTCCTTATGCCTTAGAACTCTCCTTGGAAAAATTCAGGAAATCTTTTACGGAGTGCTTCCATCTCAGCTACTCTTTGGACCATTTGAATTGAGAAGAATAATAGGATCTTTAGTGAGGAGAGAGCCTCTACGTCAGCTCTTATTGAAAAAAGGAGGTCACTTATCACATTCTGGGCCCTAAACCTCCCAATCTTCTCCATCTTCTCCTTTTCGGATCTTCACCAAAATTGGCAAGCATTGCTGCACCTAAGTACCCACAGGATTCCTCGAGCTTCTTTATGAAGGACACCAGACCTTGGGCCATCTGATAGCTGCTCTCTAGGCAACCAGAGCTCCTCAGGCATTGGATGCCTGTTTAGGAATTTTGAAGCCCTGATCCTCCTTTCTTGTGCTCTGCCTATCAGGGTCAAGGACTCCACATTTGTTGAGGCCAAGTCTCTACTCAGAGGTCTCAGAAGATTTAATCATCTTTGGAGCAGAAAGGTGTAGGTAGAGGATATTCCAGCAACACTATCGCTTCGGCTTCTGGCAATGCCCTCTGCCCTTGGAGACTAGATAACATTTTTGTCGAAATTGGCCACATTTGCAGCAGTATCCAAGTCTCTTGGAGACACACACATAGGAATTGTAACGCTGCGGCAGATGCACTAGCAAGGGAGGGAGCTAGTCTCAACTATCCCTAGGGGAATTTGGACCCCCCTTAGTGCTCACCTCATTTTTGGATCTATTGCAAAGATTCTCGGACCCTCAAGGCTTCCTGTATAGGGCACCCTGTTTTGGGAATTGCCTAATTTTTGTTAGTAATTATCTATACAATCAATACAAAAGTCAACTTCCTCCGGGAAAAAAAAGAAGGTTGGTTGACTAATGGAGAACATGTTGATTTATTGCATTTGGGTTTTATGCCCAGAGGATTCATTGGAAGGTTCAGAACTTTTTAATACTAGATCTTTCTATTCGTTTTCTGTTCACCTTGAATTTGGTTAGATGTTCATATTTCTGCCTCTTTTTGTCAGTTTTTTATTTCTTGTGTGTTTGTTTGGTGGTGGTGGTGGTGGTGGTGGTGGGAGTGTAAGAGAGAGAGAGAGAGAGAGAGAGAGGAGAGGGATTCATAGATGATATGAATTGCATCTCAAGACATTGATATTTTAGTTGACTTGGGATTTGATTTCTGCCCATAGTATGATGGCAAATTGCTAATAAAACATTTGTGAGTATGAAACTTTGGGATTAGTCATTATTTTGAACAGGGACCACAAAAGTATATTTAGCCATTGAATATGGAAAATGAGGCTTTATGTACTGTTTGTTTGCCTTTTGCTAGCTGCATTATAGATATTTGTTGTTTGTTTTTTTAAACAAGGTGGTTTCTCAGTTATCTCTTTTATTAAATCAATGTAATGTTTTGTAGGTGGTAGAGCTGGGATTTACCCTAGCAGCACTTGCTCATGTTTGACACAATGCCATGACGGATGAAAAGAACAGTAAGTTATGCCAGCAGTGGTGGTCTGGCTGTTCAAGCATTTCAGGCATATTTTCAGCTTAGCAGCCTTTGCTACATGAGGCTTGTGTGCTTGCTGTACAGGTACTATTTAATATTGTTGTTGATCCCCTTAGGCTGGAGGAATATCTAAATAACTGATTAAAGCTCATATCGTGAAATTGGAGAATTCTGTGTATTGTAGTCTCTAGTGGTATTTGCCATTATAAGTAATCTTGTAACCATTTATCACCATTTCCTCGTATTCTTTCCATCCTACCATGTATGTGATTAAAGCACCTATTCATTATACATAATCTCATATCTATATTTTTTTCAGCAGTTTTATCCCAACCATATCCACAATCCTAATATTACTTTGTAATTGTGCAAGCCTCTGTCTCTCTCTCCCTTACATGCCGACACACACGTGCACCTGCACATTTGCACAAACAAAATGAAAAATAACTATTGCTACCCATGAAAGAAGTATTAAGCACATTTACATGTAGAATATTTGCTTATGGGTTTTTTTGTTAAGTATATATAAAACAATAAAAAGTATACAAAGAGACCATTTACTTTTTGTACAGGAGGTCACAATCATTTATGTCCCTTAGATCTCAAATTGGATGGTTGTAGGAGTGTCATTAGATAAACTCAAAGTTTGGAAAAAAAAATTCTCGGACTTTATGATCCACCCTAAGCCATCAAATTTGACATCCAACGAGTAGAAGAGTAAAAGTAATTGTGACCCCCTTATACAAAAAGTAAATGGTTTCTTTTACAATCCCGAGAACATTTGCTCCTTGCGTGATCAATATTGTTTGTTGATATCAATCGACGATTTGACTTGGGCATATGTGTCTCCTATTTTGTCTAAATATGCATGGAAATTTTCAAATTTTGAATACTCGTTACACTCATGGTTGAGTGAATATATGATTATATTACCTAATTTTGATTTCTTTTTTTTCCATGTACCCCTAGCAAAATAACTAATCTTGAATTTTTTGCATTAGGAACATGCATGCTTTGGAATTTCACCGCCATCATCATGCATGGAGGACATATCACTTTTATTGAAGTCCATCCCGAAGTATACTATAGAGGTGAATGCAAATTGTAGAGTTAAAAGTTCCTGAACTCTGAGTGATCTGGGCTGACCTGATTGCTGATTGGCAAGCATGGGAAGAAGTGAAGGACATGTCCATCTTTGATGCCATAAAACAAGTTGTTCATTTCCATGGAAGATGCTGAATAAAGAGAGTTGCTAGCCCCACCTGCACCTCCTATTTCCTAACGTTCAATAATCGAAGGCATCGATACATTTATCAGCGAGTCATGGAAGGACCCTCTGCTGCAACATGGAGAGCTTGCTCTTGTGCGCATGTTTTGCTCGATTTGCCAAGGTTCTCATTTGAAACTGAAAGAATTAAATTGGCATTAGCAATTGCTTTTAAAAAGCCACATTTTCATGTTCTCTTGACATTCGAAGCAAGCCAGTGGCTTTGTAGAAGCCTCTTTTTCTGTTTTTTACATCTTGTATATATTTTGCCTTGATTATATAATAACTTTTTGGAGAAGGATGAAGATGAAGGTTTCACTGTGTGGGTGTGTTGATTGGCATGTATTTCTGCTCATTTGTTCCAGTCTGGTCTTTCCTCTGACTCTGAGATATGAGTTTGGTTGCTTTGCTTTAGTATCAAATAGGCTATGAATATTCCTGTGTGTATCTTTATACACACACATCTTATTTCTGATTGGTGATTTTAGAAACCTATAATCCAAAATTTTGGACAACCTTTTGCCCTTATATTTATTGAAATACGTCTTTTACTTTCTATAAAACCAATGGAGGGCATTGAATATAATTGTGATGCTCCAAATTATCTCGAAATGACGCAATGAGATTCTCATGTGCTTAACAAAGGTAGCATTGCAAGTGGCACACTTAGAACAATGACTTTCCCATTTGATATTCTATCCTTGTCCAAGAACAAGAAGAGAGAGAGAGACTGTAGATTTTGTAAAGAGAAAGAAGCTTGAGCGCAATTTAACATAACCAACAAAATTGGTGCCATTATTAAAATAACTTCATAAGTGAAAAATCCTATGCCATCAACAATAAAGAAAGAAGATTGGTCTAATAGCAAACAGAGCATTTTACAAGATGAGAGACTTTATGGAAAGAAAGGACTTGAAAGAAGCCATACTCTCTGCCTCTATTGCAAGAGATCATATTACCTCTTCTGTCTCTCTAGAAAAAAAGCATACTTAAAAAGTTACAGGGAAGAAGTTTTTTTTATAAAAAATGAAGTACGGATATATATATATATATTTAAATATAATTTTTTGAAAAAACTTGGCATTCTTAAAAGATTTAAAAAATCAGAGATTTTTTTGAAACTCGCGTTTTAGATGATGACTTGCTAGCTTGGGGGTTCAAGTTTGGGCCTCGTAAGTTCGGGGTTAAGGAAATTGGGGTTTCTAATTTTTTATGATCAATATTAGAGCATGCAGGAACTGGGTTAATTTTTTATGATTAATTTTTTATGATCAATAATAGAGCATCCAAGAGGAAGAGAGAAAACTGAGGGCTTTAGAGAGAAACTGTGTGAGAGCCAAGAAAAGAGTTAAACATATAAATATATTTTTTAATAATGTAATGGGACTCAGCTCATATCGGCTCGGCTCAGCCAATAATGACAAATATCAGCTCGGCTCGGCTAAATTCGGCTTGTTGTTGATCCCGTTAGGTTGGAGGAATATCTAAATAACTGATTAAAGCTCAATTCGTTAAATTGGGGAATGCTATGTGTATTATAGTCTCTGGTGGTATTTGCCATTATAAGTAATCTTGTAACCATTTATCATCATTTCCTCTTATTCTTTCCATTCTACTATTTATGTGATTAAAGCACCTATTCACTGTACATTCTCTTATATCTATATTTTTTTCAGCACTTTTATCCCATTATTCCCCTCTCCTTATCCCCAGCAGCTAAAGCAAAACCATATCCATATTCCTAATATTACTTTGTAATTGTGCAAGAGCCTCTCTCTCTCTTTCTCTCTCTCCCTCTACATGCCGACACATACGTGCACGTGCACAATTGCACAAACAAAATGAAAAATAACTATTGTTGCGCATGAAAGAAGTATTAAGCACATTTACATGTAGAACATTTGCTTTTGGGTTTTTTAGTTAAGCATATATAAAACAATAAAAAAGTATACAAAGAGACCGTTTACTTTTTGTACAAAGATGTCACAATCATTCATGTCCTTTAGATTTCAAATTGGGTGGTTGTAGGAGTGTCCTTAGATAAACTCAAAGTTTGAAAAAAAAAATTCGCGAACTTTGTGACCCACCCTAAGGCAACAAATTTGACATGCAATGAGTAGAAATAATTGTGACCCCCTTATAGAAAAAGTAAATGGTTTCTTTGTATACAATCCCGAGAACATTTGCTCCTTGCATGACCAATAAGGTCTGTTGATATCAATTTACAATTTGACTTTGGCATAGGTGTCTCCTATTTTATCTAAATATGCATAGGAATTTTCAAATTTTGTGTTTTTCATATTACCGAAGTGATTTTCAAATTTTCAAATTTTCATATTAGCGAAGTATTTCTCAAATTTTCATATTTTGTCTAAATATGCAAGAGATCATATTACCAAAGTGTTTTTCATAAAAACATGAAGTACTTATATATATTGTTTTTGTTAAAAGATATGATTTTTTGAAGATCTATTGAAAAAATTCAGACTTCTTAAATGATTTCAAAACTCAGAGGTTTTTTCAAAACTCGTGTTTTGAAGGATGACTTGGGAGCTTGGGGGTTCATGTTTTGACCTTGTAGGTTCAGGGTTAAGAAAATTGGGATTTTAAATTTTTTATGATCAATAATAGAGCATCCACGAGGAGGAGATTGAAAGTGAGGGTTTTAGAGAGAGAAAGAGCCAATAAAAGAGTTAAAAATTTGAGCTTATCTAAGAAAATTTATTTTTATGATATCTAAATAGTTTTCTATATTTTTATTGATAGCTTTTGATGCTAAATATTAATATATTTTTTCTTCTAATTTTTAACGAATTTTTAGAAATGTTTTTTGGTTTTTATAAGGCTAGTTTGAGCTTAAATGTTGTGGGGTTAGTTATACTCAGCTTGTATCGGCTCGATTCAGCCAAAGATGATGAATATCGGCTCGGCTCGGCTAAAATCAGCTCAGCTCGGCTAGATTCGGCTCGGCTCAGCTATATTAGGTTCAGCTCGGCTCAGCTCAGCTAGATTCGGCTCGGATAAGCTAACTTCACGTAAATTTATAATGGAACTGAGCTGAGCCGAATAATATAAGCCGAGCTGAGCCGATACCAGCTGAGCCGAGCTGATATAAACCGAGCCGAGCCGATATAAGCCGAGCCGAGCCGATATCAGCAGAGCCGAGCCGAGATCAGCAGAGCCGCACCAACCAACCCAGCCAGTTCGTCCACAACCTCCGTTTACATGAAAAAAAAAAAAAAAAAGGGGGGGCTAAACCAACGCGTTCACCTTTTTTTCTGCTCAGTGTCCCTGTGTAAAATGGGAGATTAGTTTGAGGATTGGGATTTTGAGAAACTTCTTCACTGCTTTAGGTTTTATGTGTCATGATAAATTGATTGTGGTTTGTTTTCTGACCACTATGATAATAAATAAATGGAATGGCAGCTGCTTCAATTGTTGAGAGAAAGAGAAGTACATTTGTACCAGTTAGAGAGAGAAAGATTTGCATTCTTTGAGAGAGAGAGAGAACATAAAGAGATTGTTTTAAAACACATGGAAGAAGGAACAAGTGGAAAAGGAAAAGATGCAGTAGTTCTCTTTCTAGCTGATTATCAATTAAGAGGATAAGGGGTTTGCTTTCCTTTTCCTACACGAGAGAGGGAAAATGCCTGGCCAGAAAAGAAAGGAGCAAAAGGGCATATGCTAGCATCCTGACCTCCACCACTTCCTTGGGCTCACTCTTTAATAAAGGTGTATCTGATGCGAGAGGAATTTGAGTTGCTTGACCTCTTGTTTTCATTTCTTTCAGGTTCTTAATAAAGTTTTTGCTTTTAGATAAATACAACCACAAGAATTAGAATGAAAGATATCCATCAGAAAGTTGCTTTTAGATAAATATAACCACAAGAATTAGGATGAAAGAAATCCATCAAATAGAGCACACAATGCAGTGGACAACAAAAGCAACCCTTGACAAAACCAAACTAAAGTTTGGTAATTTGGATGCAATTTATGAAGAAACTGTTGACCAAGTAGTTCAGCTGGAAATATGCAGTATATCACATTGCAAATAGAGGGGGCAAACCAGATGTTGCCACTTCCTCATTGGTTCCTGAGTCCTTTGGCAACTATCGATGCCACTGAGAGTATAGATTTTGCCAGGAGTGGACATTTCTTTCTGTTGGGTCTTGAAGCTATATCTGCATTATGCTCTGAAAATCCAAGTTCACCAATTTTACATGTTCCTTTGGTTTAGAAATTACATGCACTGTCCATGGTTTTCCTCAAAAGAAATGACATTCTTGAAGAGAAGCAAACCAGAGATACATTCAAAACTTTACACGACATGTATGGGCAACGTCTGGACAAACTGAGACAACCCGAAGTCGTTCCTGAAAATGAAAAATCCTCTGGTGTATATAGCAAAAAAATCCTTTACTTCGTAAAAGAGGTCCATGAAAGTTATGGCTCATTTATTGAGATCCCCATTGAGCAATTCAGTGTTGTATCCTATGGTGATGTACCGTTTGGCCAGCAATTAGGTGTATATCTCCACCGTACCGTAGAAGTGTCAGTCAGACTTACTGCATCGAAAGCACTATCCAATGCCCATATTTTGGAACTTTTGCCGCCTATAAATGATTGCATTGTCGAGATTGAAGGATATCTGATCCCTTTTAAGGTACTGGATTGGACTTCTGTTTGCTTCCATGCCCCAACTTTACTTCATACTGGCATCCTTTGACAAAGCTCTGTCTCTGACTTATGTTGTGCACTGTTTTTTAGTGAGATAAAGAGAAGTGCATTTGTAAATAGTTAGAGAGATGAATGTTTGCATTCTTTCAGTGAGAGAGAGAGAACATAAAGAGATTGTAACAAAAATACAAATAGAAGAAGGAACAAGTGGAAAAGGAAAAGGTGCAGTGGTTCTCTCTCTCTCTCACTAACTGATCATCAATCAAAAGGATAAGGGGCATATCTGTGCAAAGTTTGAATGTGCATCTGTGTAACTCTGATAAGGCTACTGTTTAATTTCTAGAGAATCATCGATGCACTTCAATTTTCAGCTTTTCTGCTGCCCGACTTATGTCCGTACTCATGCTGCTCGATGTAGCCACCCTTCAGCTTACTATTATCTCCCAAATAAGAAAAATAAAATTGTAAATCTGTCTCTAGGTATCTTTGTGGAGGCAGAGGGAGACCAACTGGTCTTGACCCTATGTAAAGTGGGAGATTAGTTTGAGCCTTTGAGGATTGGGATATTGAGAAACTTCTTTACTGCTTTAGGTTTTATGTGTGTTGAGAAAATGATTGTGGTTTGTTTCTTGACCACTATGAGAATAAAATAAATAGAATGGCAGCTGCTTCAATTGTTGAGAGAAAGAGAAATACATTTGTACCAGTTAGACAGAGCGAAAATGCCTGGCCAGAGAAGAAAGGAGCAAAACGGCATATGCTAGCATCCTGACCTTCACCACTACCTTGGGCTCACTTTTTAATAAAGGTATGCGAGAGGGGCTCACTCTTTAGTAAAGGTATGCGGGAGGAATTTGAGTTGCTTGACCTCTTGTTTTCATTTCTTTCAGGCTCTTAGTAAAGTTTTTCCTTTTGGAACTTTTGCTGCCTATAAATGATTGCATTGCCGAGATTGAAGGATATCTGATCCCTTTTGACGTACTGGATTAGACTTTTGTTTGCTTCCATGCCCCACTTTACTTCATACTGGCATCGTTTGACAAAGCTCTGTCTCTGACTTATGTTGTGCACTGTTTTTTAGTGAGAGAAAGAGAAGTACATTTGTAAATTGTTAGAGAGATAAAGGTTTGCATGGAGAGTTTCCATCTCAGCCACTCTTGGAAAAATTAAAGAAATCTTTTATGGAGAGCTTCCATCTCAGCCACTTTTTGGACCACTTGAATTGAGAGGAATAATAAGATCTTTAGTGAGGAGAGAGCCTCTACCTCAGCTCTTATTGAAAAAAGGAGATCACTTGTCACATTCTGGGCCCTAAGCCTCCCAAGCTTCTCCATCTTCTCCTTTTCAGATCTTCACCAAAATTGGCAAGCATTGTTGCACTTAAGTACCCACAAGATTCCTCAAGCTTCTTTATGAAGGACACCGGAACCCGGGGCCATCTGATGGCTGTTCTCTAGGTAACCAGGGCTCCTCAGGCATTGGACGCCTTTTTAAGAATTTTGAAGCCCCGATCCTCCTTTCTTTTGCCTTGCCTATCGGAGTCGAGGACTCCACATTCGCTAAGGCCAAGTCTCTACTCAAAGGACTCAGAAGATTTAATCAATCAACATCTATTTCTAAATTGCGAGGTTGCCTTGGCCCTTTGGACCGACCTTCTTCTTCTATCGAAGTGGCTGTGGGTCATTCCCCAATCGATCCCTCACCTCTTCTCCTTATGCCTTAGTACTCCTTGGAAAAATTCAAGAAATCTTCTATGGAGAGCTTCCTTCTCAGCCACTCTTTGGACCACTTGAATTGAGAGGAATAATAGGATCTTTAACTAGGAGAGAGCCTCTACCTCTTCTCTTATTGACAAAAGTAGGTCACTTGTCACATTCTGGGCCCTAAACCTCCCAAGCTTCTCCATCTTCTCCTTTTCAGATCTTCACCAAAATTGGCAAGCGTTGTTGCACCTAAATATCCACAGGAATCCTCAAGCATCTTTATGCTGGAACCCGGGGCCATCTGATGGCTGCTCTCTAGGCAACCAAGGCCTCTCAGGCATTGGATGCCTTTTTTGGAGACTAGATAACATTTTCGTCAAAATTGGCCACATTTGCAGCAGTATCCAAGTCTCTTGGAGACACACTCATAGGACTTGTAACGCTGCGGCAGATGCACTAGCAAGGGAGGGAGCTAGTCACAACTATCCCTTGGGGAATTTGGACCCCCCTTAGCTCTCACCTCATTTTTGGATCTATTGCAGAAATTCTCGGACCCTCAAGGGTTCCTGTATAGGGCACCCTGTTTTGGGGCTTGCCTAATTGTTGTTTGTAATTCTTTATACAATCAATACAAAAGTCAACTTCCTCAAGGAAAAAAAAGAAGGTTGGTTGACTAATGGAAAACATGTTGATTAATTGCATTTGGGTTTTATGCCTAGAGGATTCACTAGAAGGTTCAGAACTTTTTAATACTAGATCTTTCTATTTTGTTTTTGTTCACCTTGAATTTGGTTAGATGTTCATATTTCTGCCTCTTTTTGTCAGTTTTTTATTTCTTGTGTGTTTGTTTGGTTGGGGGG